CAACTATTAACAGTTACAATATTTTAGTTAAATCTGTTTGAATTCAGACTTAGTATCAAAGTGCGGCATTAATTTTCAGCGCAAAAGAACGCAAGTATAGCCATCACGGCTATAATGACCATAAACCTTAGATGCAGATTCAGTGACAATTTTAATTAAACGTTCAACACTTTGATTTTGGCATGGAAATGGTTTTATATCAACAACAATATCTTTATCTGACTGAAGCCAGGCCAATATTTGTGCGGTAGAAATGTGTTTTGTCAAAGCAGGTTTCAAGCGGGGAATAGTTTGCCAATCAATCAGCTCTTCATAGCTTGTTGCTTGAAGTCTAATTTACGATTTGGTATGTCATCTTCCATGTAGAATTCTTTGCATGTAGAATTCTTTTCAGAGCAAGTCTACGAATTACTTGACGGTTGTCTTTCAGCAAGAAATTTGCTCTCAATATGAGCTGGATAGCTATTGCACTTCAAAACTTGCTGAACCACAATTCTGTACTGCACAGGAAGAAATCACGATGTTTCTATCATTTTGTAGTAGTGTGGTGCGGCATTCCAACAGTTTGAATATTCTTTTACATCAAAACATACAACTGCATGAGTTCACGATAAATTTAGCCAATAGTGTAAGTTCATTTGATGGAGCTACAGTAGATATATATAGGCGCAAAACTCAATTTGCAAGTGTCAACCATCTTGCATGGTTTAGCGGCACAGGCAATCTGGATTCAAATCCCTGTGGTACAATCCCTGTCTTCACTGCATTAACAGTTTTGAAAAAGTACAACTGATCACTGCTTAATAAATCTTTATCACAATTAATAGGTTCACCAGCAATAACAGCAAAGTTGACTATGGGTGGCTGCAATAGCTTTAAAATTTGATTTGCCAATAGGTCCATTAAATGAATGTGGTCCAGTTGTTGCACCATCTAAGGAACTAAATAGATGTTGCAAAGGAAGCTCATTCAGATCTAAGAGACAAATGGACCAGTGAAGTGGGCGACCAAAATCCAATTTCCATTCTGCATATAACTCCATTATTTAAACCAGTGGTAACGTTTGTTGAATCTGAACCAATACAAACAAGATTAGTACAGTCTACTGTATCAAGAATTGATTCTGCAATGGATTTAGCTATACCACTTACTGGAGAAGAATGGTAATGTATCTTGATCCTGGTTCTGATAATAAAGAAATATGTTCTTCAGAAACTACAGTCTGCCAATCTCCAACAAGTTTTAAAGTCTGATCTTTTCTGCCATCAAAATAAAATCCAGAAATCTTGCGATCAGTATTTTTATATGCTGAAAATCTCAGAAGTTTTCTTTCATTCCGAATTTTATTGCCATCAACTGGTCATATATGTTCTAAACTGAAATCAACAAGAGTTGCTGATACTAAAGCAGCAACCGCAGGATCTGAAATGCCAAACCCATCTGCTTGTAATGCAATATTTCTAAGGCAATGTTTTTTAAGACGAGAAGTTTTGAGTATTTCATCTGATGTTTCATCTGATGCACAAGGGGAATAAGTTTCAGTGTCAGAATCACTAGTTGTTTGAACTGTATCATCTGGATCTGATGCTTCAGCTACTTTTTTTACATTTTTTAATGGTTTCACTTGTTGATCTTAACACTTCCTTTTTAGACGCCTTTCAGCAAGTGTAGATTCCTTCTTATCATCATCAGCTGTTCGACCAATATGTGCAGTGCGCTGATCTGTAAGAAAATTATGCTCAATTGCTGCTACCTTCATATTAAGAGGACAGCAGCAAGATGAAAACTCTTTGCATTTGCATGAACAAATATCAAACAGTTTATCAAGATTAGTTTCTATTTCTTCTCTTTTGAGTGTTGCAGATTTTGATCGCGTCACTTTCTGAACTTCACCTATATACTTTTCTAACTGGATTTCTATCCCTCGAAGAGTTATTGTAGGGGTTGATGCTTTAATCCATACTTGCAAGAGTTTATCAGCTAGTCTTTTATTGACAGTTCGTAGTGGCTCGGTTTCAGTTTCAACTCTTTTCAAACAAGTATGCTTTGCCAACCTGTTTGTGCGTTAGCAAGTAAATGTTTGGTAATTCGAGCTTCACCAAAAAATATATGATAATTTTTTGCAGCTGCAGATCTTGATAACATTATAATTGTTTCATAGTTTTTAAAACAGATTAGAATTTGAATTAATTTCTGTTAATGCAAAAAACAGATAAAAATTTCAATCTAATATAAAACTACAAGCAGTTATGTAATTTGCACAAACTAATTGTTTAAAGTTTAAACACCAAACATTCATAGAAAATGTTTAAAATTGCCTAAATCTTACTGTCGCGAGCGTTAGTTGTTCATGTGATAGCTACATGACGGTCGCTTACATGTGTTTTATGGTCTGTATATTTGTGCCATCCTTTGTCGCTCCTTCGTTGATCTAATCGCTAATTGGTTGTTTGATTATTCACCTCTGTCTAGCAATGTCGCATCAGCCAGATGGCTTGACAATGGACAATAGTCAGGGCCCAGTGAACATTTAGTTTATAGTTTATATTTTGCACGTATCGTACACTGTGTGTTTGGCTTGCAGACATATCTGCTGTTTGTTAGTTTGCATATATAGTTTGAGATTGATTTATAATAAAATGATAAAATAATTTCAGTTATTAGATAATCTGAAGGATATAGGTTATTACACTTACTACTATTTATTACAAATTCATACAAAATATAAATAAGCTAAATATTAGTCCCACAATATAGGCAAAATTATGTGTAAATCAAAAACTAGTAAATATTTTTTATAGTTATAGAATTACATAATTAAGCAATAATAGGCATATACATATATGCCTATTATTAAAAAAAAACTTAAAAATGCAAAGTATAATTAAATTTTATTCAAGTTTTTCTTTGCTAATAGTAAACAATGCTATGACATGCCACTTTTCCCAAATTCTCAAAGCAACTTAGTTTTTATAATCCAGCCTAATATATATATATATATATATATATATATATATATATATATATATATATATATATATATATATATATATATATATATATATATATATATATATATATATATATATATATATATATATATGTATATATATATATATATATATATATATATATATATATATATATATATATAATTATGAATATGTGTTTAGATAACTGATGTCACACTCTGATGTAACATCTCTGATGTCGTTTTTTTTTTTCTTTTTCTGAAAACACTGTATAAATCTGTGTTTATTTGTGTATGTATGTATGTACGTATGTTTGTATGTATGTATGTATGTATGTATGTATGTATGTATGTATGTATGTATGTATGTATGTATGTATGTATGTATGTATGTATGTATGTATTTATGTATGTATGTATGTATGTATGTATGTATGTATGTAGAGTACATAACTGAAAGTATAATTATATATATTTTCTTTTTTTTAAATTTTTATTGAATTTTTTAATGACCTTGTTTGCATTTTTTTTAAATAGGTATCAGCTATCAATGCTGTATTTATCATAATGATAGGGTTGTCCATGCCAAGCAAAACATTACAATATATCATTAGCTTTATTATGATTGTATGGTCATCACTGGTAGTTCTTGTATATATGGTTTACCAATTAGAGTTTGTTAAAGAAAATACACTTGAAAGAAATTGTACAAATTCAGTGAGTTATTTTAATTTTGCATTTTATCACATGCCACATTTAGAACAAATATACAAATAGTTGGATATTAAAAAAAGAACTTTATCTAGTGTTAAATAAATAATAAAAGTGTCCCCATCAGTTTTTTTATTTTTTGCCCCATCCCTATATGTAATAACTTATATGCAAAAAAGAAAGTACATGCATTCAATAGCAATAAGGATACTTAAAAGGAAACATGCATATATAGACCGATATCTAGCTTGTGGCTAAGTCAAGATGATTTTTTTTTAATTTTATTTGCATGAAATGTTACTGATGATATCATACTGAAATAGCCATTTGTGGGGGGTTTCAGTACATTGACTGAAGGAGTCAATGGTTAGACCCACTTGTAAATTTGTACAGCTGTAGAGGCAGCATTTTTTATTCCTTTTTTATTAAATTGCATTTGGTATAAGTTGTTTTTATATGTTATTAACCTTATTTTAAATTCATAATTTTAATGAATTTATCTACATTTAACTAAATTTAACAGCGAGATACTGTTTAATGCCAAACTAAAGTTTCATGATTGAAATTATTTATAACAAACAAATTATGAAAGTTATAAAATCTAAAATTTACCATAAAATTTTATTAGAAAGTGAAGAACCATAAAATGTTGCTCATGTTGCTCAGTAAGTGAACAACCATAAAAATTTACTTGAAAGTGAGCAACCATAAAATTTTACTAGAAAGTAAACAACAATAAAAATTTACTTGAAAGTAAACAACCATAAAATTTTACTAGAAAGTAAACAACCATAAAAATTTACTTGAAAGTGAGCAACCATAAAATTTTACTAGAAAGTAAACAACAATAAAAATTTACTTGAAAGTGAGCAACCATAAAATTTTACTAGAAAGTAAACAACAATAAAAATTTACTTGAAAGTAAACAACCATAAAATTTTACTAGAAAGTAAACAACAATAAAAATTTACTTGAAAGTAAACAACCATAAAATTTTACTAGAAAGTAAACAACAATAAAAATTTACTTGAAAGTGAGCAACCATAAAATTTTACTAGAAAGTAAACAACAATAAAAATTTACTTGAAAGTGAGCAACCATAAAATTTTACTAGAAAGTAAACAATAAAAATTTACTTGAAAGTGAGCAACCATAAAATTTTACTAGAAAGTAAACAACAATAAAAATTTACTTGAAAGTGAGCAACCATAAAATTTTACTAGAAAGTAAACAACAATAAAAATTTACTTGAAAGTGAGCAACTATAAAATTTTACTAGAAAGTAAACAACAATAAAAATTTACTTGAAAGTGAGCAACCATAAAATTTTACTAGAAAGTAAACAACAATAAAAATTTACTTGAAAGTGAGCAAGCATAAAATTTTACTAGAAAGTAAACAACAATAAAAATTTACTTGAAAGTGAACAACCATAAAATTTTACTAGAAAGTGAGTGACCATAAAATTTTACTAGTAAGCGAGCGGCCATAAAATTTTACAGTATATAATTAAATCCACAACAAAAAAGAAATTGCAATCAAAAAGTCCATTGTAAAAGGGAAAGAATTAGTTACTGAGAAATTAAAAATCAAAACAATATTATTAGATGTTTAAAAAAAAAATTTTTTGAGAAAAATAAAATCTGATGCAAATCTTTATTTTGTTTCAAATAATAAAAATTCTACTGCACTGAGTGCAAAGATTATTTTTCAACATTTCTGGAAGGATTGATTTTTGTTTCATTTCTAAGCCATGCAATTTATAAAAAAAACAATAAATTAAAATGAAATCACAAGTAGTGTTTAGGAGAATTGTTTAGGAAATAAAGCAATCAAATCAACTATATAAGTGTGTATGCTTTTTATTTGTTACTTGTCTGGTTATTGACTAATAATCTCAAATTATCAATGGCTAAAACCAGTGCCCTATTTGCGCATTCTGTAAACTATTGTTATTTTGTTTATAATTAATATATATAAGAAAAATAAATAAATTTCTAAATCATAATGTTATTAATTAAATAATACAATATTCTGAATTTTATTTAAAACCAGAAAAATCACATAGAGTTTGTGAGGTATTTAAATGAAAGATTTATTTTATTTGCTGATAAATATTTAACAAGTAGGCGGTTTTAACAACTTTGTTTTGATAAAATATCAAAACAAAGTAGTTAAAATATAACCTCAAATGGGTATGGCATACTATAGCAAAGACATTTAGACAGTAGAAATATTCCTCAAGGAAATAGAAGAAAAAGATCTGCTATTATCAGCATATAATTTTTTTATTTACTTTTACTTATCAAGTGGAGAACCTTAGAACTTTAAATTAAAAAAACATGTTTTTTAGGAAATTTTTAGGCTTTAACACTTTGTAAAAATTTTTGCTCTTTTGATGTATAAATTTGTCCTAATTAAAGACATTTTAAAATTTTATTTAAAACAATTTGAAGCAAATCGACTGAGCAAAACCCTAATGAAGTTCACAAAGAGACTTTTAAAAGTATTAAAGAGATCCCAAACGCTGAGTTTTTTTTGAATAAAACAAAATAATAAAGAAAATAAGGAATCTAAAAATTATTTTTTTCATCAAGTTATAGAGTTTTTTTTTTTTTTATTATAGATAACTAAAGAATTTGTTTAGTTATGTATTATTATATTTTTTTTCATCATAAGTCACTATACTATAATTTTTTTAGTTATTTTTTTTTACTAAATTTTGCAAAGTTTGCATTAAAAATACGAATAAAATATTTCAGATATTTTAAGGTTGTTTATTGCTATAAATTAATTTTGTGTTATATTTATTTGTTATTAAATGTTTATTATCCTTATTAAGATTCTGTTTCAGCGGCTTTTGATTTTTTTTAGATTTTGACCGCAAGCTGCTGGTAGCAGCTTTCGAGTATGCTTCACAATTTATCTTGTTTTATACATAAATTTTCAAAATAGGCACATATAATTTGTTCTTAAGATTAAAATAATTCTCTAAATTATGAAGAACCATTAAGAGCCATATTGTGTAATTATAAAAAGTTATCACTTAAAAAAGTTAAAAAATCTTAAGTAATCCTTGATAAAAAAAACTTCTTTAAATTTCTTAAAAAAAGTAGCATTAACACTGTAAAATATAACTTGAAGAAGTGTATAAGTATTTACTCAGCATAGTTAAGGAGAGATCCGAACGATTTGCATTTCTTAAAAACAAAAGTTTACATTTTAAACTTCAATTTTTTGTGTTTTCTGCTTATTTTCGACTATTACTGTTATATATTTTTAAAAATTAAAATTTAAGCTTTTCTTGTATAATTTATTATTTTTTTATAAACCTTTTTTTAACCAAAGCATCAAGCAAAACAAAGCTACCACTAAAATACATAAAATGCAACAGGGTATTATCATAAAAATAAATTGAACAAATGTGTTAGTATATACATTCCAAAAATCTCTCTTTTATTCAAAAGTAAAATGACTTCTTATTTACAGCTTTAAAATATTCCATAAATGACTAAAAAACCTCTCGTTTTATTTTTTCGTAAACAGTAAAAATGTTAAAATCGAAGTTTTCACATTGGTTTTTGCTCATAGCAATTTACTACAATAATCTCTTTATAGTCGTTCAAAAAATTACTAAACAAAAACGTTTCAGCTTTTATATAACTTCTGCTCCATAGTATTAAGCTAAAACTTCAAACTCGTAGATAATAAAATCACTGAATATTTGTAAACAAAACAAAACAATGAGTTTCGAGATTTTTAAAAAAAAATGAACCAATTAAAACGCTCACAAAATAAAACGGCATTTTTTGAAAGCGAAAGGGACTAAATGCTATATTTTTCTTTGGATCTCTCCTTAACTACGCTGAATAGCCAAGTAATTAGAAAAGTCTTTTGAAAAAAAAAATTTTTTTTTATACATGAAATAAGTTTTGTTTTGGACTTGATGTTTTAGTTACTATTTATAAAAACAATGGTTTGAAGCACTTTGGATTTGTTATTGTTCAATGATGCATTTTAACAACTTATTTAATTGAAAAGTTCATTAGTTTAGCTTTCTATTGATATATAGTTTGTTATGCTTTTAAAGGTATTTATTATTTAAATTTTAATTAATTGTCAATGTTATGCCATCCAAATTTTATTTAAAAAGATTTGCGATTGCAGCAAAAAGATTATTGTTAAAACGGCTGGTAGTGAAAGAATTAACTTTATAAAAGTTTATTAACAGCATTTGTTTAACTTTTCATCAGGTACAAATATCCTTGAAATTCTTATTTAATGCGAGAAATTTATTCAGTAAAACATGTATTACTTGTTTTATTTTTGTTTTTAAAATTGAACAATAATTTCTGAAGATTGCAAAAAAGTGAACCATTATCAAATCAATTTTTAAAATTGAAATTGTTTAATGAAAAACTTTTTATTGTCAATTGTAAAAGTTTTTTGAATTGTAATGTTAAGTGACAGGTTTTAATGTAAAATACTTGCCAAATACGACATATAAATTGGAAAATATTAAATATATGTTTTTTAATGCACGCTGCAACGCTAACAATTTTAATGTCCATTTGTCTTGAATTATTGCCATAAAACATGAATTATTGCTTTAATAAAATTATTAAATTAAAAAAAATTATTAAAAGCTGTTGTAAATTTGTTAAGTGTAAGTTCTATAAATATCCTTATTTTATTTCGTTCTCACACTCTATAAAAAAACATTTTGTTTTACTTCCTATAAAATTTTAACAAAAGTTATACAATTGATGATAAATCCTTATTTTAAAAAACTAAAAAACAAAAACTAATAATATTGTTAAAAAAAAATTTTAAAAAATCAAAAAAAAAAAAATCCTACAATGACATCATATACTAAGACTCTTTGAGATTAAACGCGCTTGACAATTTAAATAATAAATACCTTTAAAAGACTTAAAGCAACTGATTAACATAGAGATGGTGAGTTTCAAGTAAAACAACAAAGTTAGTTTTTCTTGGTATACATTTATTATTTTGTTCTATTCAAAATAACTTAGCCCAAGCATTTTTTTTAACATTCTCTTTAATATGAACACAACTTGTCTCAGCTCTTTAGAATCCCTTTAATTAACACAAAAAAAAATCTTTAAGAAATTTTTTAAAATACATGCAGAAGTTGTATTAAACAAATAAATTTTCATCTGTTTCATTTCATTTAAAACCTAAGTTATAGGCTGTCAAAGATGAGATTTTTTAAAAATATTTCGATATAAGTTTTTCTAATTTGCCTTAGCTGAGTTGCGTGTAAGACTGGATTCAATCTTGGTCAGGAAGGCACGTAATCGCCATTATGATTATGCAAATAATATATAGTTTTAACAATTTGATCCCACAGATAACAAGTTTTAAAATTGTAATCATTTTTTAAAAAAATGTTTTTTTTTTTTAGTTTAAATTAAAAAAAACTAAAATGTTAAGATTATTCAAATCAAGTTTTAAATTTTGACTTTTAAAATTGCATTTGGAATAATAATCTTCGAACTCTTGTAAAAATTTTATTAAAAATTTTTTTAAAGTTGTTTATAAATAGACTTTTTTTATTTTATTAAAAATTTTTTTAAAGTTGTTTATAAATAGACTTTTTTTTTATTTTATAGATTAACATTTATCATAATAAGTACATAGTTATTTAAATTTCTAACAAAAAAAGAAAAAAAAAAAACTTTTAATTAAAAATTTGATTTCAAATCAATTATGCATTCTAGTTTACCCAAAATTAGTTTTGCAGTGTTTAAAGTGGTTTTTTTGTCTTTAAGTTTTTATAAAACTAAAATTTATGGACTAACATAAAAATTTATGGACTAACATAAAAATTGTTTAAATAAGTTTTGCTGTATAGTAGTAAGTTTAGTATTAATAGCATAATAAATTTATTATAACAAATTTAAATGTTTTGTTTTAGTCTTTACCAGTGCTTTTACAAGTGCATCATTTTTCCTCAAATGCTTGGTGGTTAGGACTTCACAAATCTACATCTGTTTCGCTTGATGTTCGAGTAAGTTTTAAATATTTTGATGCTTTGTATATGTGTGTGTGTGTGTGTGTGTGTGTGTGTGCGCGCGCGCGCGAGTAACAAATAAAAAACTTATGTTAATTTATTTACTTTATTTATTTAAAGTTTATTATTTTATTATTAAAATTACATTGCTGAATATATCATTTATTAAAAAATAGTCGCTGAGATTTAACTTGCGTTATTTAAAAAAAAAGGTTTAACTTATGTTTTGTGCAACAATTTGATGCAGCCGTTTATTTAAAATTTAATTTTAAATAAGAAAACTGATGAAAGGATTGTGATTAAAATAAGCTGATTTTTTTTCTTTAAAGAACAAATAAAATTTAAAATTGAACAATATTTAGTATCATTTTTAAATAGGTTTGACAGTTAAACCCAAGCATTAACTTTAATTTTAATAAACTTAAATATATTTTTAAAATCAAAATTAATTTTTATATATTTTTATCAGAATAAAATTATATATTTTTATTAAAGAAGTTTTAAATTAAGTCATATATTTTTTATCAGAATTAAATTATGTTTTTATGATCAAGCTTAAAAAATCAATCATTACAATAAAATAAAGACAAAATAAAATTAAACTTTTAATTTTATTTGACCCAAACCAAACCCTCAGTCGATGTAGTGCTGCTACATCGACTGAGGGTTTGGTTTGGGCAGGCAGTCTATCATTTAAAAAAAAAAAAAAATTTAAGTTTTTAAACTTTTTCTGGTCTGGTATATTAACGCGCTCTTTAAAACTACAGTTTATGGAAAACTCTTTTTAACTACCATGCAAGAGTATATATATATATATATATATATATATATATATATATATATATATATATATATATATATATATATATATATATATATATATATATATATATATATATATATATATATATTATATATATATATATATATATATTATATATATATATATATATATGTATATATATATATATGTATATATATATATATATATATATATATATATATATATATATATATATATATATATATATATATATATATATATATATATATACCCTTATAGTGTAGTCGAAAGAGCGTTTTAATGTAAAAAAAGTCTCTTACGACTACAATTTTAATTACCTCGTCTCTTAAGCTGTTTTTGATTGTCATCGAAATGTCAAAGCAATTAATTTATGCGGAAGTACATTAAATTTAATTGTTTTTTAAAAAATTTTTAAAAAACCGCAATTATAACGACTAGAAAGTTTTTTTTAATTAGTGGTGTTTTTGTTATTGATTTAATAAAAAAACATTTTTAAAACATGCGTAAATGTTGCTACATCGACTATCTTATAGCCTGACTCGCAACGGAGTGCTGCTACATCGACTGACAAATAGCCTGACTCGCAACAGAGTGCTGCTACATCGACTGACAAATAGCCTGACTCGCAACGGAGTGCTGCTACATCGACTGACAAATAGCCTGACTCGCAAGGGAGTGCTGCTACAACGACTGACAAATAGCCTGACTCGCAAGAGAGTGCTGCTACATCGACTGAGGGTTTGGTTTGGCCAGGCAGTCTATCAATTAAAAAAAAAAATTTAATTTTTAAAACTTTTTCTGGTCTGGTTTATTAACGCGCTCTTTAAAACTACAGTTTATGGGAAATATTTTTTGATGCCACGCAAGAGACATGCAAGAGTATATATATATATATATATATATATATATATATATATATATATATATATATATATATATATATATATATATATATATATATATATATGTGTGTATATATATATATATGTGTGTGTATATATATATATATATATATATATATATATATATATATATATATATATATATATATATATATATATATATAATATAAGCTATATAAACACAAAAAACCCTTTGCACAAATCCATTTTAAAGAATTGGCAAAAGTTGAAAATTTGCTTAATTCATATTGTTTAACTATTATACATTGTATATATTTAAATATAAACTGTATTTTAGATCTGTAAGATATCAGAGAATGATCTAATTGAAAAAATTGATTGCCCTTTCTATATTTTAAAGCCAAAAAATTTTATATATACAGAAATTAGATTGAGAAGTCACTGATGAATTTTTCAAAATTATGAAAGACAAAGCAGATATTAGTAAAATATCATTTCCTTTTATAATTAGTTAATATTCCTAGATCAAGTAGTTTTATTAAAGAAATCTTAATTGAAGTTTGTCAATTATAAAATCAAATGGTGATACCATGTTTTAGGGAGAAATTTGTGCAAAAAAAGTCTGCTATTTAAAATTATAAATTTGTTACTATATCAACACAAAGTACAAATAAGAAGACAAGTATTATAAATAGCTGGGATAAATTATTTGATTTATTGCCCATAAATGCTGAATTTAAAAATCTGACAAACTTATTTATGAACTTCAGAAATCTTCTAATGGGTGTAAAGTTCAGTGCAGTATTGTGACAGAGCCTCTTTCAACACATCTATGAGACCTGCCACCTAAAGAAAAGAACTTAAAACAAATTATAGTCGATTGTTTGTTACAGACAATTCTAGTAGTGAAAGTTCAGAAGATAATAGTACAAGTGATGATTAAACAATCCGATTGAAATGTGCAAAGATCACCGGTAAAATGGTAGCTAAGATATCTAAAAATGAAGGGTATCCAGGCTTGGTCGGGAAGCGGGAGCGATCGCTCTCGATTGCTGACGTAAATAATATTTAGTTGCGAAAAGCTGGCCAGATTTTTTAGTCGTTTTGAGAACATTTTAACAAGCAAAAAAAAAAAAAGCGCTTAAGATTAATTGGACCGATGAGAGACAATTACAAAAAATTTTTTATAAAATTAAGCAATGTTTTTTATCTAAAGTAACATCTTACGATTGTTTAAAAAGGAAACAAATATTCTTTATTAAACAAAGTTTGCAAGTTTTAGTTTTATTTAAGCTAAATTATTTTATAAATAAAAAAGCTAATTTTTATTAATACCTATTTTATGTTTCGCTTAGTTTGAAAAGTTTAACATATTTGAAGCGATTCTTCTTAGTAATGAAATAATTAAATACAAATAAATTAATTATTAAATAATTAAAAACAAATGAAATAATTAAATCATTGAATTACTATAGGAATTAAATTATCATGATAGAAATCAACTAAAAAGGTTAAAAATATGACAAGGAAGCGAAACTGCTTCACAATATCGCTGATGATGTTTAGTGAGTGGGCTTTTTAATTAGTTAGTAATCTAATTAGTAATAAAAGCAGAAAAAAGTGCAACAAGTTTTTAAGAATGGCAAATGAAGCGAAAATAATTAGTTAGTTAGTAGTTAGTAAACCAATATCAAGTAACTTTTCTTTATATCTAATTATTTGCTATATATATTTGTGTTCTGTCGTGACCTCAGACGCAGTGCTTGTTCATCCGCGAGTTACTTTGTATGCGTTGTTTGTGTTTAGTAACTAGAAACTTCTTATATGCGTTACATGATTAGTTTTATTAACTTTAACGATTATAACTTTATTGAAAACGCAATTATTTTTGTAAGTCTTTGTTTAAATCATTAAAATTGCTTTAAAAGATACATTATGATAAAAAACAGATCAACAAAATTACATTTACATAAAGAATACATTTTTAAATAAAAAATAAGAATGCACAAATAAAATCTATGATTTATAATAAACTTTTAAAATTTTGACAATTTAATATATATTTAAAACATTTATTTTTGTAAATAATTTATATATATTCTTAAAACGATTTATGCTAGAAATCTGAAAACGTAACAAATCGTGAGTAATATAATTTCTAAAACATTTCAACAAAATGCTCCAAAATTTTATTTCGCTTAGTTAGCGTATTTTTTGAACCAATAGAATTAGTTTGTCCGTTAATTTGGTGGGTTTTTAGTGTTCGCAAATGTTCTTTTTATTCTTTCGCTCCAAGATGTTTTGAGAACATTTAAGTTTTTTATGTTTCCATGTATGTTCGTAAAACAAAAGTTTTTTGTTTCGTAAATAAACTTAAATGTTCTCAAAACAACTAAAAAACCTGGCCAGTTTTTCGCAACTAAATATAATTTCCGTGGTCAGTATTCGAGAGCGATCGCTCCCGCTACCCGACCAAGCCTGGTATCCAATAAGTTGTACGGTAATGATTGCAGAGGCTGTACTCACTGTAGTTGGTGAGACATCAATTTGCAGATCTGCAGTTCAAAAAGGATCTACAACACTCGTGCATGAAATAAGCTTCATTTGGTAGACTCTTCTGAAGAAATGTGTTGCTTACATTTTGATTGTAAGAGCATAGATAAACAACATTATTATAGCACCTCCATTTGGAGCAAGTCTAAATCTTTGGTTATATCTTTGAAAAAATTAGAGAAAGACAAATCTGTTACTATTTATAACATGTTACACAATATTATTTTGGAATTTAGTTTATTAAATAAAATTTCTGTTGTAATATGTGAATAGTACAGTAAATACAGGTTCTAAAAACATTAAATACAGTCTTTAAAAACGAATTAATTTAGTGTTTGATAAAAAGTGTTCCATGTTTAGTGTATCATCCTTGTTGACTTCATTTTCTTGACCTGATTCTTAAGCATTTTTCGATCTCAAATTCCTTATCAACATGGCCTACTTTTAATTACTGGTTCATTTATGAGTTGATTAGTGACTACGATGATTTAGTTGAAAAATACAAGCCTAACTGGCCAGTTATTAAATGTAAAAAATATGGCAGGAATATATATATATATATATATATATATATATATATATATATATATATATATATATATATATATATATATATATATATATATATATATATATATATATATATAGACTTTTGGAAATATATATATATATATATATATATATATATATATATATATACATATATATATATATATATATATATATATATATATATGTATATATATATATATATATATATATATATATATAGACTTTTGGAAAATCTTCAACAGCATTTTTAACAAGGGTAGATCTAACATTCCATCTCTCATTCATGGGACTGATCTTATTACCTCTCCCAAGGATAAGGCAGAACTATTTGCAAAGAACTTTTCTTCTAATTCCACTCTTGAATCTTATGGACATTCTCTTCCTTCCATTCCAGTCAAACAGGTTGACCCATTGTTAGGAATTCAAATCACTCCGGCTTCTGTTGCTAAAGTCATATCTCAATTAAACTCGTCTACAGCTAGTGGTCCAGACAACATTCCTGTCACAGTCTTGCAGAATTGTTCTCCAGAACTTTCTTCAATTCTCTCTAAACTATTTAACAAGTGTTTGACTGAGTCTTGTTTTCCTGCTTGTTGGAAAATGGCATCTGTGGTTCCAATATTCAAAAACTCTGGAGAAAATTCTGACCCCTCCAATTATCGTCCGATCAGTCTTCTTTCTGTTATTAGCAAGGTCTTTGAGTCTTTGATCAACAAATTCCTCACATCTCATCTTGAGTCAAATAAACTACTGTCAGACAATCAATACGGTTTTCGATCCTCTCGCTCTACGGCCGACTTGCTAACAGCTGTAACTGAAAGATTTTATCGTGCATTAGATGGAGGCAGTGAGGCTAGGGCTATTGCTCTCGACATATCTAAAGCTTTCGACAAAGTTTGGCATGCTGGTCTTCTCCATAAGCTTGCTTCATATGGTGTTTCTGGGAAAGTTTTTGAGATTATCAAATCATTTCTTTCTAACCGGTTTATTAAAGTCATCCTTGAAGGCCAACACTCTTCTTTATTTCCAGTAACTTCTGGGGTTCCCCAAGGTTCCATCCTGGGCCCTGTTTTGTTTCTTATCTACATAAACGATCTTCCTGACAACCTTTCATCTAAAGTAGCTCTTTTTGCTGATGACTCAACTTTATACTCCTGTCTTGACAAAAAGTCTTCTCTTTTCGATCGCCTAGAACAAGCAGCTGATCTTGAATCCGATCTCACTTCAGTAATAGATTGGGGTTCACAGTGGCTTGTGAATTTCAACTCTGAAAAAACCCAGTTGCTTACTGCAAACAACTACCGTAATATGGTCAACATTCCTATATTAATGAATGGCAATCCTCTTACTGAGTCTTCCTGTTTACGTCTTCTTGGATTATCGCTTACTACTGACCTTATATGGAAACCATATATACAATCGATTGCTAAATTAGCTTCTGCTAAGGTTGCTTCTCTTTATCGTGCTCGCCATTTCCTTACTTCTGATTCCATTTTCTACCTCTACAAATCTCTTATTCGTCCCTGTATGGAATACTGTTGTCATATTTGGGCTGGTTCTTCTAACAATTCACTTTCTCTTTATGACAAGGTCCAAAAATGCATTGTAAATGTTGTTGGACCTGGACTATCTGCTAAGCTTGAGCCTCTTTCCCATCGTCGTAAAGTTGCATCTCTTTCTCTTTTCTACAAATACTATCATGGTCACTGCTCAAAGGAGTTATCATCTCTAGTTCCATCAACTAAAATTCATTCTCGTTTTACTCGTCATTCAGCTAAGTCTCATTCGTTTACTGTATCTGTCCCTGCATGCTCTAAAAACTTTTATTCATCTAGTTTTTTTCCCCGCACTTCAATCCTTTGGAACTCTCTCCCATCTTCATGTTTTCCTGACTTATACAACCTTCAACTTTTCAAGTCGTCTGTCAACCGTTTCTTTGCTCTATAACTCTGTTCTTTTTTTTACTAGTAACTCCCAACTTTATAAAATATTTGCCTATTTAAACTGTATATTAAACTTTTAGCTATTTTGTATGAAAGCTGTTAGTCTAAAGAACAAAATAAGCTAAAAGGTTTTGAGTCTGGTCAAAAGAGGGTAAACTTATTACTGAAAATGCCACTTAACTTATGTTACATGGAAAATAATGTAAAAAAATTGCTTAAATTTTAGGTCAGATTTCTGTGAATCAGTAAAGCGGTTTGAATTAGAAACTTTCACAAGGTGTTGAGAATTCTATACCAATTTAAAAAATATAAAAATTTATCAGAAATGATTGGCTAGAGAAAATAAGGAGGGAGATGGGTTCAGGTATAAGTGATCGTTTGTGACATGAGGAAAATGGTTGAGAATTGACAAATATAGGGTAACATGCGTTATAGATGACCCCCTGTAATTGCACTAACCAACTGTTTGTTTATTTATGTATATTTATGTCAACCAAAATAAAAATACAGAAACAAATAAAAAAAATGATAATATAAATAGTCTTAGTTAACATAAAAAAAAACCAGTAAAAAAAAACAAAACTGTAACTTTCAGAAGCATAAAAATGACTTAAATTAATTTTAGTACTAAAGATGTAATTTAGGTAAACTTTCATGTATCTACCTCAATATTCATTGGCTAAAAGTTGACGAAAAAGAGAATAAAATTTGACTAATTTTTCATTTTCCGTTGTGGAATTGCCCATATATATATATATATATATATATATATATATATATATATATATATATATATATATATATATATATATATATATATATATATATATATATGTATGTATGTATATGTATATATATATATATATATATATACATATATATATATATATATATATATATATATATATATATATATATATATATATATATATATATATATATATATATATGTATGTATATGTATATATATATATATATATGTATATATATATATATATATATATATATATATATATATATATATATATATTATATATATATATATATATATATATATATATATATATATATATATATATATATATATATATATATATATATATATATATATATAGAGGCAGTTATAGGCATATATAGGCATATATTTAGGCAGTTTAACAAAACGACCAGCCATAAAATCATTTTTTTTAGTTATTCAAAAAACAAACTTTGAAAGTCTAAGAAAACTTGAAAGTCTTTGAAACTTCATAGCGAAATTCTATAGGATTTAGACAATTTTCCCCTAAAAAATCTGTCAGAAAAGTTGCATAACTGTATAGAATATGTAGTAAAACCATTGTATTCATTTCTGTAAATATATATAATATATATATATATATATATATATATATATATATATATATATATATATATATATATATATATATATATATATATATATATAGAGGCAGTTATAGGCATATATAGGCATATATTTAGGCAGTTTAACAAAACGACCAGCCATAAAATCATTTTTTTTAGTTATTCAAAAAACAAACTTTGAAAGTCTAAGAAAACTTGAAAGTCTTTGAAACTTCATAGCGAAATTCTATAGGATTTAGACAATTTTCCCCTAAAAAATCTGTCAGAAAAGTTGCATAACTGTATAGAATATGTAGTAAAACCATTGTATTCATTTCTGTAAATATATATATATATATATATATATATATATATATATATATATATATATATATATATATATATATATATATATATATATATAAATATATATACATATATATATATATATATATACATATACATATATGTATACATATACATATACAACACAATATTTTTTTTATAGGGTTATCTGTTTATTGTTTTGATCATTGTTTTAGAAAAAGTTGTAAAGCATCATCAGGTATTTTAATGTTATATAATGATACTTAATACTTATTAGCAGTTTAAGCAGGCATTTGCTTTTTAAGTTTGCATTCTGAGAAGTTGTAATTTTTTAGGAACTGCATCGATATCAAAAAGGTTTGCCATTGTCTTGCCCTGATGTAATATTTCCTGAAATCACACGAAAAATGGCTGATGAAACTATGAAAGATTGCATTAAATATCTTTGTAACAACTATTTTACTTATTTTGGTTTTGAGGTATTAGTCTTTTATGCAGTTTTTGAGTTTTACTAGATTTTTTGTTATTGTGTTTTAGTTATGTGGTTTTTTTACTTCTTTAAAGCACATAAAAATAGTTATTAAATTATTTTGATTGATATTTAAGCAAGCTTACTAAGCATGTTCAAATTTACCAAACTAAAAAAAAATAACTTAAATTTTAACTTAAGTTCCATAATTATTGTATCAGATCTTGTGTTACATTATATAAGATGAAGATTGTTTATAAATAAATTAGTTGTGACACCAGTTTTTTTAATATGTAAGTAAGGGCTCTCTGAAAGAAAGAAAATTTTTTACTTGTGCTTGAGTGATATAATTTTTAAATGAATGAATAAAAAATAAAAGAATGTTGTAAGAGAATGACCAAATAAAACATGAATTAAGTTAAATATAATAAAAAGTAGATAATATAATTGTTTGGAAGTAAAGATACTTGTTTGCTTACAGTCAGAAGCAGGTTTTCAATTTTCCATTTTCAATTTTTTTTTTTTTTTTTTTGTAGATTAATTTAATGACCATAGCAGTTTGTATGAGCATACGTGGAGATGTTGTTGCAGTAATACATTCACTTTGGTTGTTGTTATTTCTCAGTATGCGTCGAAAACATTCTGCAAAGTTATGGTCGATTTACATTTGGTTTTTGTCAATATTTTTAGTTGTGCAATATCTATTAATACTTGGTTGGCCACCTGGTTTATGTAAAGGTTAAACTTTTTTTTTCTTTTTTTTTTTCTTTTCTGTAATATATTTTAAAATATCTTTATATTTTTAGTGATATAAAAATTTATAGGTTATCCTTGGGATGGCTTTACTTCTAGAAAAATTGTTCACTGGTTGTATTTAACAGACACCTCAAACCCACAAAATCAGTTTTTATTGCTAGGTACATTCAAAAAGTTTGAGTAGTTTTTATTTCTAGATTTATTGTGGCTCAAGTTAAGTTGTTATTGATTATAAATATATAATAGATTAAATATTATTTTTAGCTGATTACTTTCAGTTATATATGGCCTGTTGTCAAGGTAATGTCTTTCGAAAAGAGTTTGGATCAAGGAAAGCAAGCTTGGGTTCAAATCAAAATTTATCTGAAAATTACATACCTGCTGATTTTATGGCAAACAAAACTTGGATAGATTTTGTTAAGGTTTTCTTGTTCTCTAAAAAGTTAAAGTACTGTAATTAGTGTTACCTCTAAAAAGTTGAAGTACTGTAATAAGTATTATCTCTAAAAAGTTATAGTACTGAAATTAGTGTTATCTCTAAAAATTCTCATAATATAAAATAACTTTCAATTGAATAAAAATGTGTCTGTATAAAAATGAATTTTTCATGCTTATTTTTTTGTTTGTTTAGATTTTGGTATTAGACCATTTTTTATGGTTCACTTTAAGTATCATATACATAACAGCTCAAACAACAATTAGCTTATTTAATTCTGGGTTTCTTGTTGGTTGCTTTTTCTTTTTATGGCATGGACAAGGAATATATTTGCGCCCACGCAGAACAATGAGACGATGGTGGATGATTTTAATTTTCTACAATTTTTTTGTAATACTATCTAAAGTTTGGTTACAGGTAAAATAATTTATTTTGTACTTTTTGTTAATAAGTAAAAAGGTTTAACTTTTTTATATCAATTTATATTCACCTTAATTTTTTTAGCTAGCTTCCTGTGTTTATATCAATTGGATTTACCAGAAACAAAACTGCTTTCTAGTTCAGCTCCTTAATCTATATTGTTTACGTGTACATGATTACAAGCTAGTTGATAATGAGACAACTCAATCATGCACCTTTGTAAAAAGTAACAGTATGACAATGGATTGTGTTTGTTTCATTGTAATAATTATTCAATATCGCATTTTTAAATGTTCATACTTCAAGTATGTAGTTAAAGAACATAAAAAAAGATCTGAAATGGCTTATCGGTATGTATAACATTAAAAAAAAAATTTTAATAAATAATATTAGTTTTTTACAAGAACAATTTTTTACAATTTATATCAAAAATCAGGTTACTATTTTGCAGTAAAAAGTTGATGCTTCAAATTAATATTTTGATTGTTAAATAGTGTGTTATCCTTTGGTTTTCTCAACAGCTTTTTTAGAATTACTAGAAAAGTAAAAGTTTTTATAAAATACTATTACTATCATCTATAACTTTAATAACATCTGTTGTACACTGACCAAACTAGAAATTATATTAATGATATATTTAGTATACAAGGAGTTGAGATCAATAGATTTACCTATTTATTTAGGTAGGAGTCAGTGCTTTCAATCACTTGTCCTAGTAATTGGTTTTGGATTTCTTAAGGAATCAAGAGTAAGAAATTGGTTTCCAATTTCTTACCTTGAGTTATAGATAATAGTAATAAAGTTATAGATGATAGTAATAGCATTTTATAACCATTTAAACCTACAACTTTTCAAGTATGTCAATCATTTCCTTGCTTTTTAACACAATTTAATTTATTTCAAGGGTTGAATTAAGCAATCGCGAACTATGCAATATCTGGAAAAATCTCTGGTCTTCAAAATTTTAGTTTATGCAAAACCCAGTAAATTGTTTTCATGGAGCGAATTAACTTAAATTTATTAGCAAAAAAGTTATAAAAACAAAGCAAAACAATAAACTTATGTCTACAAAAGTAATAACACTCTAGTTTCTTACTGCATTATAAAAGTAATAAAACTATAATAGTGTTATTTTATAATGCATTTATAACTTATAATTCATTCTTTGTTCAAACAACATAAGTTTTCTTTTTTATTATTCTGATTCACTCCCAACAAGGCTGCAAGCAACCACTATCGAGTTAGGAGTTACTAGAAAAAAAAGTTATAGAGCAAGGAAATGGACAGAAGACTTATAAAATTGAAGGTTGTTTGAGTCAGAAAAACATGAAGATGGAAGAGAGTTCTAAAGTTGAGGTTGAGGTGCAGGAAAAAAAACTAAACAAATAAAAGAATGTATTATAAAAGTGCGTTATAAAAGTAATAGTAAATTTTATAATGCTGTTAGTGACAAGAGAATTATTACTTTTGTAATCGTAAGTTTATTTTTTTGTTTTCTTTTTACATATTTGCTATAATTATAATTTAATTATAGCAAATATGTTATAAAAACAAAATAAGAGCGAATTAACTTATATAAATTCAAGTTAATTTGCTCAATAAAAACAATTTACTGGGTTTTGCATAAACTAAAATTTTGGAAACCAGATATTTTTCCAGATATCACATTTCGTGATCGTTATTTCAACCCTTGTATTTTTTAAAAGTATAATACTAAATGTTGTATATTTTAATATTTAAGAGGTGCTCAGTTGGTACAAGAAAGATTAGAAGTCCATTTGGTTCAATCAATTCAGAGGGATGAGCAGATGATGCGTTCTATAAAAAACAAGTAATTTTTAAAATTTTACTTTTTATTTACAAATTGTGTCATTACTTATAGTTAAAATATTTGTTTTAAATTAGAGTTTCAAAACTCAAGAATCGATTGGCAAAACTTAATCTAAAAGCTAGAGAACCATTATCCCATTATGAAGGTAACAATAGTTTTTATTTATTTCTTGTAAATATTTTTAGTTTTGACATTACTTTTAGTTGTTGTTTTTTATTTATTTGAGGCTTTAATTTATTAATTTTTGTTGTATTTAATAAGATTTGTTTTACTAGCAATATACTCTGGTGATTACTACTTGTTTGAAGATTCAGATAGTGAATCTGAAACCAAAGTTAATAATGAGGAAGGGTTTGAAGAAGATTTACTTCAATGTTCCTTGCTTGCATCTGAACCTGTAGCAATTGATTGTAGAAGAAAAGAAGATACAAGTCAAGAAGATACAAGTCAAGATGATGAATTTAATAATTTGTTGCCAGAAAGAAGTATGAATATTATTTTTTGCAATTTCATCTTTAAACTAGCTACTTGATTTGTATGGAATCTTTATAAATTTTTATAAAAAGTTTTTATAAAATTTTATAAAGTTTTTATAAAATTATAAATTTTTATAAAAAATTTTTATAAAATTTATAAAAAGTTTTATAAATTAAATTTTTTTTTTTAATTTTTTAAATTAGTTTTAAAAGAAAATGTTTACTAGGTTTATTACCAACTTATCTCCAACAGAATATTTTAAATATATTCTTATTATATTTATATTAAATTAAAATATTTCTTATAAATATTTCCTCTTGAAGCCCTATAATATTTGTAACTTTTTTTTTCTAATTATATACTTCACTAGTTACTCCAGTTATGTATGCTTTACTTGCAAGTTATCTGTGTACATTATTTATCTAATTTTTTACTAATACTAATACTTTTTAAAAAAGATCACACTGTGTGGTCCTTGATTGCATAGGTTCCATTTGTTAATAAAAAATGTTTTTCTTTTAAAGTATTTTATTTTTAATAAAAAGATTTTAAAGTCTAAAATTTTTATAAAATTCTGATTCCTTTGGGACCCAGGCAGGGATTCAGAGTTCCTTCGATTTTTCGGTCCTAGCTCCTTACTCATGGATTTTTCGGTCCTAACTCCTAGCTCAAAAATCATATACTCCAACTCCGGCCTCCAGAATATATATTCTTTAAAATTAAATATGTGGTTTTTATTATCTGGAATTTTGCATCTGAGAAAATGCCAGAAAAGTGATAGGGTACCATTATAATTTTCTATTATTTTATGAATATATATATATATATATATATATATATATATATATATATATATATATATATATATTTTTTTTTTTTTTTTTTTTTTTTTAACATCTTCACTTCCAACAAGGCTGCAAGCAACCACTATAAGAGTTGGAAGTTACTGGAAGAGAAAAGACTAAATCTGTAGAGCAAGATAACGATTGACTGATGACTTAAAAGATTGCAAATTATATGAATCAGGAAAGCAAGATGAAGGAAGCGAATTCCAAAGAACTGATGTTCGAGGAAAAAAACTAGAAGAATAAGAGTTTTTGAAGCACTTAGGAACAGTCACAGAAAAAGGATGAGACTTAATTGAATGGCGAGTAAAACGAGAGTGAATTTTAGTAGATGGCACAAGGGACGCTAGCTCTTTAGAGCAGTGCCCATTATAGTATTTGTAGAAAAGAGAAAGAGAAGCAACATTACGACGATGTGACAAAGGTTGGAGATTGGCTGCAAGAGCAGGTCCAACTATGTTTACAATTCGTTTTTGCACCTTGTCTAAAAGAGAAAGAGCATCATTAGAAGATCCGCCCCAGATGTGGCAACAGTATTCCATACAGGGACGGATTTGAGATTTATAGAGATAGAGAATAGAATCTGGAGTAAGAAAGTGTCGAGCTCGATAAAGAGATGCAACCTTAGCAGATGCTAATTTTGCAATGGATTTGATATACGGTTTAAAAGAAAGATCAGAAGTAAGAGTTAATCCTAGAAGATGAATGGTAGATGACTCATCTAGTACATTACCATTCATAAATATAGGAAGATCTAAATTATTACGATAACGATTGGCCGAATAAAATTGAGTTTTATCTGAATTAAAGTTCACCAGCCACTGTGAGCCCCATGCTGTAGCAGAAGTGAGATCCTTTTCAAGCTCAGATACCCCCTCCAAGCAATCAGAGAGTGTAGGCTTCTTATCATGACAAGAGTAAATGGTAGTGTCGTCAGCGAATAATGCCACCTTAGATGTGAGAATATCTGGAAGATCGTTAATGTAAATTAAAAAGAGTATAGGGCCAAGGATTGAACCTTGAGGAACCCCTGAAGTTACAGGATGTGAAGAAGAGTGTTGTCCATCGAGGACAACTTTTATACTACGATTGGAAAGAAAGGACTCAATAATCTTAAAGACGTTACCAGCTACACCATAAGAAGAAAGCTTATGGAGAAGACCAGCATGCCAAACTTTATCAAAAGCTTTAGAAATGTCAAGTGCGATAGCCTTAACCTCTCCACCTCTATCTAATGCACGGTAAAACCTATCGGTTATTACTGTTAGCACATCAGCTGTAGAACGAGAAGACCGAAATCCATATTGATGATCAGAAAGTAAGTTATTTGATTCAAGATGAGAGATTAAGTGTTTGATGATTAAAGATTCAAAAACCTTGCTTATGACAGGAAGAAGACTAATGGGACGGTAGTTAGAAGAATCAGATCGCTCTCCGGAATTTTTGAAAATAGGGATAACAGATGCTGCTTTCCAGCATGATGGAAAACAAGACTCTGATAAGCACTTGTTAAATAGTTTAGAAAGTATGGATGAAAGCTCCGGAGAACACCTCTGCAAAACTACAACAGGAATGTTGTCAGGACCACAAGCTGTTGAAGAGTCTAAGCAAGAAATTACTTTAGATACAGAAGCTGAAGTGATGCGAATGTCAAGCAAGGGATCAACCTGTTTGACGGCTATGTCAGGTAAAACGCAACTAGTGGAATCAAGAGATGATATTGATGAAAAGTTCTTAGCAAACAATTCAGCTTTGTCTTTAGGTGAGGTGACAAAGTCTGAACCATACAAGAGAGAAGGAATAACAGATTTGCCCTTATTATTGATACTGTTAAAGATTCTCCAGAAGTCTCGAGAGCCTAATTTTTGTGATGAGATACGAGATTTAATGACCTGGGAATAGCGAGCTTTGGCGTCAGACAAAACCTTTTTACAATGGTTTCTGGCGTTAGTGAACAGATGTCTGTTTTATGGAGAATTGTTTTGCTGATAGATATGGAAGTAACGGTTTCGATTAGAAATTGCTGCAGCGCAATGTGAGGAAAACCAAGGAGAAGAGTGAGGCTTGACCTGGAATCGTCGAGAGGGAATAAAAGATTCCATGCCAGCCTGAATCCACGAAGTTATGTAAGAAGCACATTTGTCAGCAGGAAGACGAAAGATTTCTACCCAAGGGCCATCACGAAGAAAATCACGGAAAGAGTCCCAGTCAGCTTTAAGGTAGTTGTATGTGGTACGATGATAGGGGGATTCTGATGAAGTAGAAGAATTTGATAATAGTTTTAGAGAGATCAAACCGTGATCAGAAGTACCTAAGGGTGAATGTGGAGAAATTGAGCACTGACTAGGATCCAAAACAAGACATAAGTCGAGTAGAGAAGGTAAATGATTAGGGTTGTCTGGAAAACGAGTTGGAAAGTTGACTATTTGAGTTAGAGATTGAGAAAGGCAAAAGTTGAGGGCCTTAACGCCAGCAGAGTCACTGACACTAGAGCCAAGCCAATCGGTGTGATGGGCATTAAAGTCACCAACAACAACGATATTGGCCGATGGATAAAGAGAGAGGGCTTGGTCAATTTGATCAGAAATAACATCAAGAATAGTGCAGTCTTGGGATGAAGGAGAGCGATATAGAACAAAGAGAAAGGCGATAGAGTGAAGTTGTGCTAAACGAAAGCACATAAATGAATAGTCTGTAGATTCAAACCTAGTTTCACGGCAAATGGGTGAGTTCTTACGAACGTAGATGCCCAGGCCAAGCATGTGATTATTGGAGTCTTTACGAATTAAAGGAAGATAACCATCAACACTAAGATCACAAGATGGGACAGCCGAACTCAAATTAGTCTCACAAAGAGCAAGTAGGTCTGGTGAACTTTGCAAGAGATAAGACTCAACAGAAGAAAAGTTACTTCGAAGACCACGAATATTAGTAAATGATAGGTTTAGAGAACTTGGTGATGACAATGGTTTTTTGTGTTTTTTAGTTTTAGGTACTTTAGTCATTTTAAATTTATAAAGAACTTGACTCAAGTATAGATAGTACTCAGTACACTATTTAACAACCAAGCAATAGCCTCATTACTATTAATAAACCCTAAGCCGTAACAAAGGGCTCCAAATGTGGCCTCTGCAATGCACACCAAAAGTACAAACAGGGACACCATCCATGCGCAACATGGCACTGTTAGTACTCTGATATTTTTCGGCTGTTGATGGAATCAGCCTCTCTGAGAGCTACCACAGAGTTCGGGAAACCTGACTACCAGCCGGCCTCAGAACCATAAAACTGAGTTTTAGAGCTGTACCCTCATTAGGAGATAATAGAATGAGTTGCCTAGTCATAAAAATAGAGACACAAGCAATACCCACGCATTGAGTCAAGAAGATCCAGCGTTCAACATCCTAAACTGGAAACAATGTATTAAAAATACATCTGCGCCAGCCTAATAGATGAGGAAGGGGTGCGAGGCTGGTCAACAGATAGAATCTGTTTACCCCTTAAGTCTTTGCCTAGGAGGCCTTCTACAAGACAGCAGCTGGATGCATGTAACATCTGCCCAAGATGAGTATTTTTATCGAGACACCATCTCTAGCCTTTACTCAACCAAGAGCCCCAAGGCAGGGGGTGTTTTAATTCGGAGTTAACTTCTCCTAGCCTTTGCCTAAAAAAGCGTATCCTACAAGGCAGCAGGACATGGAGCAGGTTGTACTGGGTTACATGTTACCAGTAGCAGGAAAACCTGACCTGACCTAAAACCTGACTTGGTTTGAAAAAATAAGAAGATATGATTTTATATAAAAACATTTTATTGGTAGAGCATTTTATAGTTTAACTTATTTAATTATATTTATAATAGTTTTCATTGCCAATTAAGTAAAAGCAAATAAACAGTATAAAATAAAAGTAAAAGATTAATAAATAACGCAAAAATAAAAAATAAATTTCTCAAAAAGAAGATTATCATTTAAAATAATAAAAAAATATGTACAATTGTTGATTAATTATGTATTAATAATCTAAAGTAATTAATTAATTAACTTTTAATTATTGATTTCTAATATAAAGAAGTTCTATTAGAAAAAATTTAATTCATTTTCAGTTAACAAAAGTAATTGCTTAAGTTTTGTTTTGAATTGGTTTAGAGAATAATTAGTTTTCAT